GCTTCTCTCTTAGTCCGGTACTCTTTCTACTGCTGTTAGGGACTCTGCTTTGTGTTACCTGATATAATGTAATACAGACATATCATTTCCTCTCAACATTTATTTCAGACTTTCATATTGCCAACCACTTATTCAGTATTAAATCCACAGTGGCAGTTTCTCTTGTTGCTTTGACAAAAGACTTCCTATAAAAAGAAATTGTCAGGGAGGATTAATAATTTGCCAAATGTTCTGTATCCAGCAGAATAATTCTTTGAGCAGTTGTCCCCACTCGTTGCTGTTTTGCTTGTTTGCCTGTTTTGTAATCTGTGGAAGGACTCTGTCATTGTAGTATGTTTCTGTGATTAGTTTCCTAGGCCTGCCATAACAAATGAAAGGGTATTGAATTTCATTAGTCATCAGACAAATGCAAATTAAAGCCAAAATGAGAAATGACAAACTGGATGGCTTAAAACAACAGAAATTTATGCTCTTACAGCTCAGGAAGCCAGAGTCCAAAATTAAGGTGTTGCAGAATTGGCTCCTTAGAGGCTCAGAAAGAGAATGTGTCCCATGCCTCTCTCCTAGCTTCTGATGGTTGCCAGCAATCCTTGGCATTCCTTGGCTTGCAGCTGTATAATTGTAATCTCTGCCTCCATCTTCACATGGCTGTATTCCTTCTGTGTCTGTGTCTTCAGGTGGCATTCTCCTCTCTTTGTCTCTGTCTCTTTTCTTGTAAGGACAGCAGTTACATTGGATTAAGGGCCCACCAGTATGACCTTGTCTTAACTAAAATCTTGATTATATTTGCACAGGTCACATTTACAGGTACCAGGGATTAGGACTTCAGCGTATCTTTTGGGGGGACACAATTCAACCCACAACCATATATGTCCTTTTTGGGGGGGTCTCTACTTTTATTCTTACTCATGTGGTATTCCCATAAATGTCTATCAAACTGACCTTGTTTATAGGTTTCCATATGTTTTTCCCAAATAATGTATGATTTATTTATATAAAATTTCATTGTCTTTTTTTTTTTTTTTTAAGTCAGCATGAGGAAGAAACAAATTTTCTTTTTCTTCCTATTGAAACTTTAAAACTAGCTGAACCTGGTTTTATCTTCCCACCTCAAGTTTTATAAGTTATCTCGCACAGTGTAAGCTGAGCATGTGCAGAGAAGGATGACCTTGGGCACCACTCAGCACTACACTCTAACCAAGTGAGCTAACTGGCCAGCCAAAATTTCATTAAGTTTTAATTTGCCATTTATTTTTTAGTAAACCAATGAGATTGTATTTGGTGCCTTATGCTAAGATTATGTTAAAATTATCAGATGATAATTTATAAACATTGGAGGATATAAGAACTGTTTATATAATAGGATTTTGGCTTATAATTTTGCTTTTTTTTTGTATAGCCCTTCTATGGTTTTGGTGTCAAGGTTATGTTAATCTCATTAAAATTATTGTTGGGAGAGAAGTACAATAATCCTTTATCCTCGGGGGATAAGTTCCCAGACCCCCATGGATACCTGAAACCACAGATAGTACCAAACTCTATATATACTATTTTTTTTTCCTATACATACATATCTATGATGAAGATACATACATATCTATAAATTAGGCATAATACTTTTGCACTTTGGGGCCATTACTAAGTAAAATAAGGGTTTCCTCCTTCTCTTCCTTTCTTCTTTTCAAGCCTTTTAATACAAGAATAACAGTTAGAAAATGCACAAATAATAAATAAGTAGCTCAATGAATTTGCACAATGTTGACTCCAGGTCAAGAAATACAATATTGCTAACACTCCTATCAGTTGTTTCCTGTGTATTCTTTAAAAGTAACCAGTATCCCAAACAGTCTATCAAATACCATAGTTGAGGGGCCGGCCCGGTGGCGCACTGGATAAGTGCGCCGCTTGGGAAGCGCGGCGGCGCTCCTGCCCGAGGGTTCGGATCCCACATACAGACCGGTTCCCGCTCACTGGCTGAGTGAGGCGCGGGAGCAACACCGAGGGTTGCAATCCCGTTGCTGGTCCCCGGTCCGGTACGGGGGCAACACTGAGAGTTGCGATCCATTGCCGGACACGGAAAAAGACAAAAAGACAAAAAAAAAAAAAAAAATACCGTAGTTGAGTTTTGTCTGTCTTTTACTTTGTATTTTGGAATCACGTGGTATGTATTCTTTTGTGTCTGCTTTCTTTCACCCAACATTATGTTAGGGTCATCCATGTTGTTGCAGGTAGCTCTAGTGTGTTCATTTTCATTACACTGTAGTATTCCACTTATCCATTTCATCATTGAATATTTGCTTGCTAATAGGTTTTGGCAATTTAAGAATTGTGCTTCTGTGAAAATTCTTATAAATGTCTTTTGGTGTCCACAGTTTGCATATCTGTTGGTATATAGCTAGTTGATGAGTCAAAGGGTTTGTTTTATTTATTTATTTATATTTATTTATTTTTTAAAAAAGATGACCGGTAAGGGGATCTTAACCCTTGACTTGGTGTTGTCAGCACCACGCTCACCCAGTGAGCGAACCGGCCATCCCTATATGGGATCTGAACCCATGGCCTTGGTGTTATCAGCACCACACTCTACCGAGTGAGCCACGGGCCGGCCCCAAAGGGTTTGTTTTAGTAGGTTCTGCTAGATAGTTTTCTAGTTGTTCCTGTTCCATTCTTCTAACACTTAGGATTGTCATTTTTTAAATATTGAGACGTTCTGGTGGATATGTAGTGATATCTCACTTTGGCTTTAATTTGCATTTCTCTCACAACACATGAAGTTCAGTTACCCGTTTCTGTATTTATTGGCGATTTGGATATCTCCTTTGTGAGTGACTAATCAAGCCTTTTTGCTTAGTTTTCTGGTCTTTTTTTTCTTACTAGTTTGTAGGGGTGCTTCATTTATTTTGGTTACAAGTCTTTTTTTCAGATACATATGTTGCAAATATCTTCTTTTACTCTGTGGCTTGCCTTTTCACTTTCTTAGTGATGTCCTTTAATAGACACAATTTTTCATTTTTAAAGTTGTACCATTTTTCCTTCATCATGAGTACTTTTGGTGACCTGTTTAAAAAATCTTTCTTTACCCCCAAATCATGAAGATAGCCTCTTATATTATCATCTAAGAGCTATTTTATTTTACCTTTTACCTTTACATCCACAGTCCACCTGGATTTAGTTTTTGTCCACGGTGTATGTAGGGATCAAGATTGATGTTTTTCTTTTAATTTAGATATCCAGTTGACTCAGCACTGCTTTTATTTGTTCTTTTTTTTTTTTCCTTTTTGTCTTTTTTACTGACCGGTAACGGGATAGCAACCCTTGGTGTTGCGCCCGTACCAGGTACCGGCAACGGGATCACAACCCTCGGTGTTGCGCCCGCACCACGCTCAGCCAGTGAGCGGGAACCGGTCTCCACACGGGATCCGAGCCCTCGGCAGGAGCGCCGCCGCACTTCCAGGCAGCGCACTCTCCAGTGCACCACCAGGCCGGCCCAGCACTGATTTTATTTGGTTGGTTGTTGTTTTGGTTTGGTTTCGGTGGCTGACCAGTACAGGGATCTAAACCCTGGACCTTGGTGTTATGAGCACCATGCTCTAACCAAGTGAGCTAACCAGCCAGCCCATGTTTTTTGTTTTTGATAAAATCATTATTTTCCCATTGCTCTACAGTGCCACCTTTGACATAAATCAAGTGTCCATGTATATGTGGGTTTGTTTCTGGACTCTGTTCTGTCACGTTGGTCTGTTTTTCTTTCTTTGAAGCAATACCAGTCTTCAGTCCTAGAGCTTTACAAAAGTCTTGACATCCAGTGGAATAAGCCCTCTCACCTTGTTCTTTTTCAATATTATCTTAACTCTTGTTAGCTCTTTACATTTCCATATAAATTATAGAATTGACATTTCCATTTGTGCAAGTCTATTGGGATTTTGGTTGGTATTACATTGAATCTGTAAATCAATTAGTGTTGGTATTACATTGAATCTGTAAATCAATTAGTGGAAGAATTAGTGTCTTTATAATTTTGAGGCTTCCAGTCAATGAACATAACTGTATGTTGCTTTGTGTTGCTTCTCTCCCCACGGATTTGTCACCCCACTTCCCCTGGGTGATGGAGATGCAAAGGATTACTCAAAGCCCATCTCTTCTGAGCAGTGAGAGGTCCCAAAGTGGTTAATCTCCCACCAGAACCCTCAAGCGAGAGGGATCCCTTCCTTGGGAAATTAATGCCAAATTGGGGTTCTCTTTCAGCATTTATTTTCCAGACCAGGAAGTTACAGGAAGAGAACAAAGGTGGGGTTATGGTTTAACAATATAGGCTGGTAACTTTCAGTGAAACAAGCCAGATGACATTCCAGTAGAAAATTAAGTGATCTGATCAACATAAGCTTGATCTTAGCAAACATTCCTTCTTATAGCAATTTCTCAGTATCTTTACATAACAATCAGTAACTAGTCTGTCCTTGAGCCAGCAACCTGCTGGGCCAAAAATCTTTATCTCACACCAGAGACTTATAGCCTGAGGAAAATTTCCAGTCCTCCACAAGGTCAATATTTGAAACTGCAAGACTTTGGAAAACCAGGCCCTGTGAAGTACAAATGCTTTATAGTATATTCCACAACTGTAATTTTCTATGTCTTCTTTCATTTGTTTCTCAGTGATTTACAGTTTTCTGTGATGAGGTCTTGCACATCTTCATTATATTTATTCCTAGTTACTTGATATTTTTTGGTGCTATTTTAAATGTATTTTTAAAGTTTCACTTTCTAATTATTTGTTCTTGGGAATATAGAGATGCAGTTAACCTTTATATGTTGACCTTATATCCAGCAACATTACTAAACTCACTGGTCGATTCTGATCATTTATATGTAGATTCTTTTGAAATTCCTATGGAAATGTTTATATGATATACAAATAATGACAGCTTTATACCTTTCTTTTTTTAGTCCTTATACTCTTTCTTTTTTCTTTTTCCTTTTTTCATTATTCAACACTGTACCAGAGGTCCTGGTGACAGCAGACATTCACAGTGTCAAGGGGAAAGATATTAACATTTTGATACCAGAGGAGAGGGTCTGGGGAGGCCCGAGAGTGGGCCTCAACCCACCTGGTCCTCTTACCATGTTCTTGACTCTACCACAGGAAAGAATTCAAGAGCAGAGTCACAGTAGAAAGTGAAAACAGGTTGAATACAGAGAATAAGAAATACAGACTTCACAGGGAAAGTATGGCCTATTTCCAGAGACTGAGCAGCAGCCGCAGCAAATTTAATACAAAGAAACATAGTTCACAGTCAAAGTCTGGGCAGGCTCAAGAGTGAGCACAACCTGCTGAAGGCAAGTTTGATTCAAAAAGTAAGAAATACACACCCCAAGCGAAGTGAGGCCTGACCCCAAGAGAGTGAGCAACGGCCCTGTCTTCTTCCTGGATTTGACTTCTAGTTTCTCTATCTGTGCATATTTATGCTATCTAGTTAATAGTCAGCTAAGGTGGTAGTTCCCAGTTATGCAACCTAGTCCTGCACATGCTCAATTGGTCTCTTTTAGAGCATGCTCATTCCACCACATGCTCTCTAGTGCCTCTTTTGGAAGGTCATTTAAGTAGTAAACTCCTTTTTTACTGAGGGTGCTCGGCCACCAAGATTACATAAATCTGTCCACTGTATTCTCAATTTTCACATGCTGGTGCTGAAAATTGGTGCTACAGGCTAGGACTAAGGGGTGGAGCCTGAGTCCGAGGGGAATGGTTTGAGACCCAGGGGAGTGGCCTGAAACATGATCTCAGGGGTACCAAGCACCTCCTATCTTAATTTCAGCAAAAAGTGTGAGTTTTGCTGTAGTTTTAAAATGCATATTCTTTATGAAATTAAGGATGTTCCCTTTCTTTTTCCTAGTTTGCTGAGTTGTTTTTTATTTCTTAATTGTGAGTTAGTGTTAAATTTTACCAAGTGCATGTTCTGCATCTGTTGAGCAATTGTCATATGATTTTTCTCCTTCATTCTACTTATGTGGTAGATTACAGTGATTGGTTTTCCATATCAAACCAACTTTACATTCCTAAAATAAACCCAATTTTGTCATGTCCTTTTTATATGTAATTGCTGAATTGGATTTGCTAACATTTGGTTTAGTATATTTGCATCTATATTCATTGGAGAGAATGGCCTGTAATTTTCCTTTCTCATAATATCCTTGTTAGGGTTTGGTATCAAAGTTATGTTGGTCTCATAATGAGTTGAGGAATGTTCCTTCTTTTATATTCTGTAAGGGTTTGTATAAGATTGGCATTTTTTTTCCCTTCTTTAAATGTTTTGTATTATTTGCTGGTGAAGCCATCTGGGCCTGGAGTTCTCATTGTGGGAAGGCTTTCAATTAAGCTGTCAATTTCTTTAATAGATCTAGAACTATACAAAATTTCTATTTCTTTTTGTATCAGGTTTAGTAAAACATGTTTCTCTTGATATTTGTCTATTTTACCTAAATATTCAAATACATGGGTATCAATCAAGTTATTCACAATATTCCTTTTACAGTCTTTTTATTATCTGTAGTGATACCCCCTTCTTCATTTCTGATATTGGTTATTTTTTCTCTATTTTTTTTTTTCTAGATCATTCTTGACAGGGTTTTATTAGTCTTTCAAAGAACCAACCTTTAGGTTTGCTGATTCTATTTTATGTGTGTTTTCTATTTAATTAATTTCTTCTCTATTTTTCTTTCTCTCTACTTTCTTTGGGTTTAATTGGCTGCTCTTATTGGCTATGCTTTTTCTAATCTCTTTTCTAATGTATGTTTTCAAAGGCTATGCGTTTCTCTCTTAAGCATAGATTTACTTGTCTCCATAAACTTTAATTTTCATTAACAGTCAGTTCAGAATATTTTCTAATTTTCATTATGATTTCTTTTTTGATCCAGGTATTATTTAGATGGGTATTTTATAATTTCCAATCATGGGGATTTTTCCAGTTATGTTTTGGCTATTGACTTCTCACTCAGTTGCACTGTGGTCAGAAAGCACACTCTGCTTTTAATTCTTTGCAACATATCAGGACTTGTTTTATATCTAGCATGGAATCAGTTTTTATAATTGCTCCATGTGTATGTGAAAACAAATACATATTGTGCCATCACTAGATGCATGGTTCCCTGTATTTTAGTCAGGTCAACTTTATCAATAGGGATTTAAAAAACATCATATTATCCTTATTCTTTTTTTCTGATTCTTTTATCAGTTACTGAGGGATATGTTCTAAAATTTCCCATTAGGGCTGGATATGTCTGTTTCTTCATTTAGTTTTATCCATTTTTGTTTATATATCTTGAGGCTATGTTATTAGGTACATACAATTTTTAGAACTGCTAAATATTCATATTGAATTGAACATTTTATCACTGTAAATATTCTTCTGCTGATTTTTTTGGCCTTAAAATCAGTTTTGCCTTATAACATAGCTATATACTTCCCTTTTGGTCAATGTTTTCAAGGGTTGTATTTTCCTTCCTTTTACTTTCAACCTTTTTGAATCCTTTACTCATGGAGCAGTGTTTTTCTTATATCTGATGTCATAGATTTCATCATTAAATTGGGTTACTTGGTCCATTAATATTTACTACTGCTGATATAATTGTGTTTTAATTCTGCCATCATACTCTGCTTTCTATTTGTCTTGTTTTTTTCTATATTCTTTCTTTTTTCTGTTCCTGCTTTCCTTTCAGTTGGTTTATTAAAAAAAAAAACCCAAAACAAGAAAAACTACTCTGTTGTTTTGACCTTATTAGTATTTATACAGTTTTTTAACTTTTTTTTAGTGGTTACTTTAGAGATTAAATCACACTTCGTTGACTTAAAGTTTAATAGAAACTAGTATTTTTATCACTTTCAGAATAATGCAAGGACCTTAGCACACTTTAACTCCATTTGTTCCCCCTCCAATTAGTAGACTAACATTATTTCTATTCTACTGTAAAACACACTTATCTTTGTTTTATACTGTCAGTATTCATCTAGGTTTAGTTGTGTATTTCCTTTTCCCTTGCTTCCTGTAACTCCAAGCTTTCATTTGGAATTATTTTCCTTTGCTTAAAGGACACTCTTTATTTCCTTTAGTAAGGTTCTGCTGATGGTGGTCCTGCATATTTCTTATACTCTTATTTCTACAGGCCCATTTCTTTTGCCACTTTATGCTTCAGTCTGGATATTTTCTCTGATCAGTGTTTCAGTTAACTAATTCTGATGAGTTCAGGAGCTGCATCTAATTTGCCAATAAGCTAATATATTATGCTCTCCATTTCTGTTATTGAAATGTTCAATTCTAGAATTCCAGTTGAATATTTTGAAAAATAATTTTCAGTTCTCTGCCTAAGTTCATTTTGTTTTTTCTTATCTGAAACATACTAAGCACAGTTATCTTATAATAGATTGCATCTGATTCTTACATTATTTACATCCTCTGTGGGTCTCTTTCTGATCTCTTTTGTTTCTCTTGATTTTTCTTTCTTTTTTTTTTTTTTTTTGGTCATATTGTCTTATTCTTTTGTAATTTGCCTGGTAGTTTTTTTTAACTGCGTCTTTATTTTTGTGCCAGATAGCATATATGAAAGATTTTAGTTTGCTTCTGACTGATGGCTGGGGGCTGCCAATTAATTACAGGTCACCGTAATTCAGTCAGTACTTGCAGTAATTTAAATCTAGGTTTCGGGCCGGCCCGGTGGCACACTGCTACAGTGCGCCGCTTGGGAAGCGCGGCAGCACTCCCGCTGAGGGTTCGGATTCCACATACAGACCGGTTCCCGCTCACTGGCTGAGCGAGGTGCGGGGGCAACACCGAGGGTTGCGATCCCGTTGCCGGTCCCGGTCCGGTACGGGCGCGACACTGAGGGTTGCGATCCGTTGCCGGTCACGAAAAAAGACAAAAAAAGGAAAAAAAAAAATCTAGGTTTCAGTCCCTGTGAGATCTGATCTACTTCTAGAATATAGGCCTTTGGTGTCCTGAAAGAAAGCCTGGGAAGTTTACCAGGGCCCCTTCTCTTTGGTGGGCTCTTAACTGCCATTTTGTTTCCCTATTACTGCAAGCCTGTCAAAAGTTCCACTCATCTCCTCAGCCTCAGATATGCCTTCTGGTATAGACACATATCTTTAAGAGATCAGCTCTCTTGCTTTCCTTCTCCTAGATCTAGACTCTATAATTTTTTATTTTTTGGTGGCTGGCACAGGGATCTGAACCCACTACCTTGGTATTATAAGGCTGTGCTCTAACCAACTGAGCTAACCAGCCAGCCCATCCCTGTAATTCTTAATTGTCTTGGTAACTGCAATGACAGAATTTTAAAAATTAAAAAAATTTTAAAAAATTATATTCTGTGGGGGCCGGCCCCGTGGCTCACTCCGGAAAGTGTGACACTGGTAGCTCTGAGGCTGCGGGTTTGGATCCTATATAGGGATGGCCGGTGCACTCACTGGCTGAGCGTGGTGCAAACCACACCAAGCCAAGGGTTGCGATCCCCTCATTGGTCAAACAAAAAATTATATTCTGTGGGGGCCGGCCCCGTGGCTCACTCCGGAAAGTGTGACACTGGTAGCTCTGAGGCTGCGGGTTTGGATCCTATATAGGGATGGCCGGTGCACTCACTGGCTGAGCGTGGTGCAAACCACACCAAGCCAAGGGTTGCGATCCCCTTATTGGTCAAACAAAAAATTATATTCTGTGGGATCGTTGGTCCAAATTACCTAGTCTCCTATTACCAGACTACAGTGTACTTTCATATTTCTAATATTAATCTTATTAAAATTTAAAGTAATCTTAATAGGATAATACTCTTAGTGACTCTTGATTATTGTATTCCTAATGTATTAAACTTCCAGTCACATTTTTAACATATTAGACAAAATGTATGAATAAAATATATTAAATGGCCAGTTTGAATGCATAATGTAGGTAGAGAAATTGATTAGAAAAATGTCATATATTTGCTGTTTATTCACTAGGTAAATTTAGAATTCTACTGAGTAACAGGGTAGTATTATGACTTCTTGTAATTAAAAAATTTTTAAACAAATAATTGTCATTTTTAAAAACTTTTTATGGAGTGACTGGAAAAGCCCCTATTGACTTAATCATAAGTAGGTACTATTGAGAGATTAGAGTGTCAAGAAAGATTTTACTGACAATGGGTCATTTGGATAGTGTCTTGAACTATGAATATAAATTTGCCAGGTGAACAAAATAGGCAGGAGGAATAACGTGTGAAACATTATGCTGTATAAGAGTAGAATTTGTTCACATACTTGCAAGTTTTTCATTGTGGTTGGAAAATAGGTGCCCACCAGTTTGCTATGAGATTATCTATTTTCCCACACTATTTTACACTTAAATTATTTTGATGATTTAATTGTAATCAGAAGAATTCTGTATCTTGGGGACAAAATGCTATCAGGTCTGTTTCTCTTTTTATTTTTGCCTACTGGGTAAATGAACATATGTATTTTTTACAGGACTGAATTTGCTCTTAAAGAAATCATGTCCTCTGGAGGTGCTGAAGATGATATCCCACAGGGAGAAAGAAAAACAGTTACAGATTTTTGCTATCTTCTGGATAAATCTAAGCAACTATTCAATGGGTTAAGGTTAGTGGACTCTCAATGCTTTAAACTTTTTTCTAGTTCTGCATTTTTTTCTGGCTGATGTGTGGTAAGTTTCTGAAAGTTATGGTGGAATGTTATATAAATATTTCTACTAGAAGTAATGATGATTTTTTTCTTTGAGTATTCTGTGGTGAAAAAACAATAGGAAAGTAGGATAACTTACATCGTTTTACTCAAGTTGAGAAGAGGTATTTTCTTGGATGGTTTTTAGTATATTACTCACACCGTATTAGATTTACATCTGACTGTACACGTTAGGGTGTTGACGTCCAAGGAGCCTAGGAATGCAGGATAACTTACATCGTTTTACTCAAGTTGAGAAGAGGTATTTTCTTGGATGGTTTTTAGTATATTACTCACACCATATTAGATTTACATCTGACTGTACACGTTAGGGTGTTGACGTCCAAGGAGCCTAGGAATGCATAGACAGTTGAATGTTGAGCCTCCTGTTGCATTTTTGTACATTTGTTTACTTTCTTGTTTCTTTTATTCTTTCTTTCTTTTTTTAGGATAAAATATCTGTTGACTAAAGTAATGTGGAGTGTTCTAGACAGTGTTATTTTTACTTTAGTTGCATGTGCCCTGAGCAGACTGTTGGCCGAAGCCATGTGTGTGTTTGTCAAAATATGTCTTTGATTGGGTATTCTTGTGTGTGGTAAATAATTTTGCACCATTTTGTTTTATTTAAATGGCATATTTCATTCTTGGGATTCTTAGGATATTCACTTACTTCAGACCTAAAGCTTCATTAGCTTAGTTCCAGTCATAAACAAATTCATGCTATGGTGAAAATATTTAGGGGAAACATTTTATTTTTGAAAATTTATATAGGAGTGAATGATTGTAAAGATGGTGAGTTATTTTAATTTGCAGTTTATTTCTGTGTAAACATGCAATCTCTTTCTCTTAAGTTTGTAAATGTATTATATATCCCCAGTTAATTCACCTTTTGAAAATTTTACAGTTATAAAAGTAATACAAGGTTATCAAATGACTTTTCCATGACCGTCCTTTCAATCATTCATTTATCCCTGTATTCATTTAATTTTCTTCATAATACATTTTTGTATCAAATTATTTTATTTGCTTATTATGACTCTTCTACATTAAAATGAAAAGTCCTTAAGAGCAGGACCTTGTATGTCACTGTTTCCTCTAGTATTTAAGCCTGTGTCTTGTGAATGTTTGTTAATGAAGAATTCCAAAGACTCCTATACTCTGCTGCTTCCTGCTTTGTGCTACAGAAGAAATGTTTGAGATGAGCTTTTTCTTTTGCTTTATAGATTAATTGCATCTTTTTAAAGAATATTTTCTTTTACTCTTATAGTTCAGAAATTTTGCTTGGTATGCCTAAATTTTAAGTCTTTTGTTTTCCGACAATGTTTTAAATCTTTTAAATTTGCATGCTTAGATTTTTTTTCTTTGTTGCCCATTGCTAGCCAGATAGATTTTATTTATTCAACATTTCAGTGGCACTCAGTATGTACCACATTCTGTGTTGGGTACAGAAAATTCAGAGATAAAACAAACAGTCCCTGCCCTCAAATACTCTGTGAGGAAATTGTAAACAAACAAAACCTAAGAACTGCTCGCTGCTAGCCTCAGATTTAGCCTATCTTTTTTTTTTTTTTTTTTTTGCCCTTTTTGTCTTTTTTACTGACCGGCAATGGGATCGCAACCCTCGGTGTTGCG